AGCCCGTGATTAAAAAAAATCTTTCACATGCATGGGAGCTCGTGCAGCCTTCATTGTCTTTTCTTTGGAAAAAAAATAAATAAATAAAAAATCAAGACAACCATTTTATACACCCTTCACCGAATAGGATCAAGATCGAGACCATGTTTGTTGATAGCTTGGATTGGCAATGACTTATGTGACATCACTGTCAACATTTGGAGAATCGACAGCCTCACAACCTCCATCTTAGAGAGCTTGTTGGATGCTCTCCATGTGATTCTGGTGATGCGGAGAACAGCGATCTCTACCTTAAGATAATATCACTGTGCAAAAAGTATTTTGACAACTTTTTATAATTATTATTAAATTATTAAGTTCATATCAGCATATAACAATTTTTTTACAGAATTGTATGGAAGGTCCACATTAATTTGCAACACCTATTTTCAAGGACAACGTTGATCGATTTTCAATTTCATGAGCATCTTGATGGTGTGCATCATTTTCAGAAACCATTTGTGGTAAAAATCCTTTAATCTTGTGGAACCCATTTATATGCCTAATTAGCATATAACAGAATTTTTGACAAATTTATGACGAAGGGCCACATTGATTTGTGACACCCTATTTCACGGACTATATTGATCAATTTTCAATTTCAGGAACCATGTTGAAAGTGTGGGTAAATTTAAAGGACTATTTTGTGATAAAAACTCAATTTTTATTCCATTTTTTGTCCTAATAATTAAATAAAATTATTAGATTGTCTTTGGTTAAAATTTAATGTTTTCAAGCCATTTTCATTAGCTTTCTTAATTAATTAAAAAAAAAAAAAAACTTCAATCTTTTTGGGTAAGTTTTATTTCTTAGTTATTTCTTTACAAACAAGTCAACTAAAAATATATTTTGCGAGTCCAGATTATAATGGTATAGTTACGGTTAAAGTTTTGTTGAGTTGCAAACCCGAGAAGTACTTTTGTATTGGTTACTATTTATATTTTTATAATCTTCATATTAATATCTTTTAGTTATTTTAAAATGGGGATAAAAAAAAAAAAAAAAAAAGGGAAGGCTGCCTGATGGCAGCGAATGAGAGGAAAGGAATAGAGTACTCCCAGGAATCCGGAGGGAGAGTGGCCAAATGGGGAGTGGAGAGAGGAAGGTGAGTGACCAACCGGAAGAGGGAAACAGGAGGGGAAAGGAGGGTGAGGGATACACCGGATCCCTCTACCCAGTTTTTCCATTTCGGGCCAACCTGGCGGCACCATGGATTTCGGTGCATTTTCCGGTGGTTCTCTGGCAAATTAGGACCCTTCATCACTTGGAATCATCCTAGAATTCTTCCCTCTACCTATTACACCCCTAATTGGAGAGAATTTGGCTTGAAATTGGGAAATCTGCACCGTGGGTGCTATGGGACCCTTGCTTGTGATCTACCAATTGTGAAACCATATCCTTCAATTAACACTACCAAAACACCTCCCTAGAACCCAGGAGCAAAGCCCAAGTAGTGGTGGAGGCGTCGGAGCAAGTTTGGAGGTCGAATTGAATCACACCCAATTCTAGGGTTCCGACGGTTCATGGGTAATTTCAGGTGTTTTCCTGCCAAATTGGCCTTGGCTGCAAGTATAAAGTTTGTTTTACCCTTTGAGATCTTCATTTCTATAAATTTTGAGAATTTGTAGAAATAGTTAAGTTTTCCGGCAAACTGGGGCGGCCGACCATCACCCGCGGCGGCTGGTACGGCGGCGCACGGCTGGGGAGTCAACTTTGTGTTTTTATGCAAATTTTTTTATTCTAATTATGCCTTTGAGACCTAATTGTTGTGGTTTGAATATTAGTGTGATTGTTGTATATGTTGGATTAAATGAATATAATTGGATTTGGTTTGAACTTTTAAAAGGTGAACTACGATTGGCTTGATCCCTGTTTAGGGTACGTAGATAGTCTAACAAGATGTTAGATGTAGCCATACAATATTTGAGATAAAAGCCTTGTTTGGGAAATTAAGCAATGCGAAGGAATTGGTGAAAATGTGAGTTTTAACTTTATGATTTGTTGGTTAAATGTGGTCATAAAACAGTATGTGGGGAATAGAGAAATTGAAGTAAGGAATCGTAAGTATTGATAGTTAGTTAAGCTAGTGTTTAGTTGGGCTTGTCACCGATAATTATTCTTGAAAATAAATAGTTCGAGAGTAGGGCATTATAGATTGTGCATTTTACGCCACATTATATGTACATATTTATATATTTGAAAGCACTACGTTATGGTTAAGTTTTGGATTGCATCATGGCATATCCATAGGTATATTACTGCGCATAATTATTGTGAATGCTTTGAAGTACGAGGGTGAACGCAGGATGCATAGGTAAGTTCAGGTGAGTATATGTCGTGAAATGTGAGATGCATGGTTATGATTACATTTTATTTGAAATGATTGAGTTATGGCATGACTATATTTATGTTTTAAGCAACTCCGACCTTGTCGTACAGGTTGCAATGATAGGCAACTCCGACATTATCGTACAGGTTGCTTGTGAGTCGTACATGCCATATTAGATGCATTTAGAGCTCATAAACCTGCACCCCAGTGTTAGTGCTCTCGCCCGTGGCCAGGGCACAGTCCTTCATATGATGTTCACCTTCCGCACCTTAAGCTCACCTTGAATCCAAGGTAGGTGCACAGGCCTGTCGTACAGACCACATTAAATGGTTTCGACTCGTAGGTGACCCGCGATTATTCGCACAGTCTTCACATGATCGTAGCACTTAAGCATACTTATTTACACCCAGTTATGTCATACAAACCATTAAAGGTGATTCCGACTCGTGTACAGGGATATTTGATGAGCTATAGGTTCAGTCGTACAGGTCACTATAGGTGGTTCCAACTTACGTGCTAGCATTGATTGATGAGATATGGGTAAGTCGTATAGGTTACTATAGGTGGCTAGCACGTAACCGACTTACGTGCTAGCATTGATTGATGAGATATGGGTAAGTCGTACATGTAACTATAGGTGACTCCGACTTACGTGCTAGCATGGATTATTAAGTTCCTGATTATTTATATTGTTGATGAGATGTTGGATCGTGGTATACTTCTGGATTTACTAATAGTATACAATTGATTTCATCCTTATATGTAGTATGATTTTCTGGGAAATTATACAGGTGTTACATCGAGGGGTTATTACTTTTAATAAGTGAATGGTTTTTGAAAAGTTTTGTTTTCGGCCACTCACATTTTCTATTTTTGCACCCCTCTAGGTTCTAGTAGTAAAGTTTCCGTATCGACGAGGATTCATGGCACTTCTTAGTATAGGTGGCTTCTTATGATGGTATAATCGTTATCTTACCTTACTGTACTCTACTTATGCTCTGTATCACGTGTGTATGGGTCCATACCCGCTCACCGCGCACTCGTGTATTTAGGCACTTCTAGGTTTAAATTTATTCATAGTTTACACATTATCACACTTTATGGCTTTGTCACCTTCCAGGTGTCGGTTAGCACAGCTTGATTCGGAGTCCTACTGGACATTCCGGGTCGGGGTGTGTCAGAGGATACGATTGAGCTCACAAGACGCCAGGGAAACTCTTCACACGGATGCCATTGCCAATTTGCCATCCTACAGCCCTAAATTTTTCATTTTCTTTACTTTACCTTTTGGCCCAAAATCTCCAAGGGCCACGGCCCACTTGAAACTTGCTACGTACATCACTCCTATATTTTTTTTTTCAAACAAATAATATTATTTCCACTAAGGAGAGAGAAGTGGACTTAACTTCACATTAAGCTAGCAATAATGTAGTTCAAATTCACCTTTAGCGAAAATCAAACTTAAAATCTCTCAGTTACAAATAAAAAAGAATACCATTAAATTGTAGTATTAAGTGGCACATCACACGATATTTGACAAGTTTTTTTTGTACCTCTTTTCTACTCATGCAACCATTTCTTTGTTTTATCTGTGAAATTTCGAACAAGCAAAACGGCTTCTGCTTCAATGGACTAGGATTCTCTCCCCTTCTCTTTCTACCCCTTCCATCCCCTCCTCTCACATTCTCTATTTTGTCTTTCTCTTTCTATAAAAAAATTAATATAAGATGTTAGCGTTACTTAATCGTGACCGTTCAAATAGGAGGGGAGGGAAGGGGAGGGAAAAAAAGAGGGGAAAAAATCCTTCACCCATTTCATATCAAGATGTATAAGTCATTTAATATTAAAATTTTGAAGGCACGTGTATTCAAGAAATTGTGGGACATCACTAAAATCAATCTTAACATAATAAATATAGATAGGAGTTGACGACCACCTTAGACCATCTCCAAATGTCAAATCCTACGTGGAATGTAGAATTAAAGTTGAAGGTAGGAATAAACTCCAACAGATAAGTCAATCATAAGTGGATTGCCATATGAATTTCCATATGTCAAATTTGACATATGAGAAAAGGTGATGTAAAATAATTTTTAATTATTTTATTGTGTAGGTCTCACTAATGCACCAATTATACATATCAAAATTTTATTTTAATTGATTTCTTTTTAAAAATGGGTCCTAGTATCATTTATAACAAAAAAAACACATGGGTTGGAGGAAGAGAAACCACGTTAGCTATTAAATTAACATATGGCATGTATCTTTTGACATCTTCATTAGAGGTGCTCTTGGTTGCTGACAAAATGGCGCCGTGATTCTTACTTCTTACCTTCAAATCCTAGTCAACATTAATTCTTCGGTTGGAGCACCTTGTGATGTCAAAAGTTACCATTAAAAACTACACGTGACATTTGGTCACATCGGTTAAAGATGCACATTAGATGTGAAAATGTTCTATCTTGTCCATCCCAATCGGATGCAAAAAAAAGTTCGAATTGAGTCATGTCTTGTGCACCAAACGTACCCTTTTAAAGTTCAAGGTTAGGCTTTCAGAGCTTCAATCCTAAAGCTTAGAAAATAAACCCTAACAAGATAATAATGTCATCCGTCGGGCCAATTAATCAACAAATATAACAAGAAAATGAGAACTAGCTGAGCTGATTATGGTCAGAACTTATTACAGAGCAACATTCATTGATTAACTTCTCCTTTATTTAATTACAAAATCACCTCATCATGTCACTCTATGCTACCACCTATCCCAAAAAATAAACAAAGAGAACAAGGAACAACAACCAAAAGAAAGAGTATCTTGTAGTTTGTTTCAGAAAAAAGAAAGACCAAAAACTTATCTGAAAGCAGATTTTGAAGAGACAACAGTCCGATCAACTTCAGAGGAACCGCACATCCTCAAAACCTTTTTCTCCTCAATCCCATCCCAAGATTGTTTGGCTTCTACGAAAACACAAAGGGGAAGTACATCGTTTCCATCATTTTTGCAACATCCACTGCATTATGTCCTTTCGTATAACTCCTCCAAACCCCCCTGTACTGTTGTTCGATCTTAATGCTTGAGGTGCGTTCATTCATAAGTGGCGTTAGTGGGTCATATTCCCCGAAGGTTTCCGTGATCTCATCATCATTGTAATTGGAGGCAACGGTTTAGACCACATATTTGTCATTGTTGAAAACATGTCTGTCAAATTCCTGATTTCTAGTTATCTTGGTGCTTCCAAGAGTTTTGAGCTGGGAAGATTCCACCTGCTTTGTAATACTCGTGCTAGAGTTAGAACCAGCAGGAGGTTTGTCCAAGGGACCCCGAATCTTCAACTTCAGGTTTCATCCGATTGAGCCAACGCAGGATCCGGTTGCCAAGATTTCTACCAACTTCTATGTCTCGTTCCTGTATGTTCTTATGAACCTTGACAGCTACATCAAACACTGCACGTGTTCTCATTTGAATGAAAGAAAAACAGTGGTTGCAGCAGTTATAAACTAATAGCAAAAATGATAAGCAGTCATTATTTAGTGAACAACTATTGCAACTGGGTAGTACTATTCACGCACCTCTTTTTTACCTCCCATGAACCCTTGTTAATTTTGGTCCATTGATCTTCTTCAATTCACCTAATTTGACTGTTGGACATTGAGAGGGGTGTGTGAGGTAAAAATAGGTGTGTGGATAGCACCATCCTGGCAACATCATAGCAAGTAAGAAAAGAAACTCGATAGTAGCAACAAAAAAACATCATTGATCAATGACCACAAATCCTACTGCTAAAACTAAACACCGCACTGGTGAGTAGTGTGTTTATGCCAACTACTCAAATTAACCATCCAGGATAACCAAACGCTTATCAAATATTTTTGCCTTTTGGATAAAAAAAACATTGATCAAATGTGGGAAAGCCGCATTATATAAAAATTGATAGCATCAAATAAATACTATGAAGGCTTCAAAGATGTTAGCAACCTTGAAGTGTTCAATGCAACAAAAAATGGATGGCGGAATGCCCCCATATCCTATTATTCGGTTCATATAGTTCGTTGTAAAATAAGTAATGCTTTACTGACTTGCCCAACAGCAATGAATCCATCACTGAGGTCTGAAACAATAGAGAAATAAATCACTGTCCATTCACAGCTAATTTCTGACATAATAAGATGGCCTAATTGGATAAATGGTCCTCGTGGTAATGTGGTAGTTGGAAAGTAGCGCCCGTGGTAAAAAGAAATATGGATTTAAACGCTTTTGGTAAAATCCGTTAGGATTTAAGCCAAAAAACAAAATTTCAGTTGATTCTCCATTAACCCATTACCCATGGCTCCACACTCAACAACCAAGCTTCCTCCGCCACCACCATTGAGTCTTTTGACTGAAAATGTAAACACCAAGGATGATCTGAGGCTTCTCACTGATGACAGTCTACTTACCCAGATCAAGGACGGGTTTAATGATGGAAAAGGATCTTGTGGTGATTGTCATGTATGCCATGGGAAAGGAGTAGAGGCCTCAAGGACATTGGTCCGAAGAATTAACTATGATATTGTTTAATTAATTAATTTTTATTTGATTATAATTAAGAAGTGTCTTACACCATCGATGCACAAGCCAAAATTTCATATGTTTTGGGAACAATTGGACATGACATGCTTCTCAAGTAATTAGCAAAATCAGGGAAGCATGCAGAGCTGCTCAGAATTGATACAGGATATAAGCATCAGTTCTACGAAGCTAAACCTGTTGCTAATTATAGAAGTGGCGACGCAAAGAAGATTGAAAGCTGTAAAAGTGATGATTAAACATGTTGCTAATTGATCCAGAACAAGGCTATGGGGCTCATTACCATAGTAGTCAAGCTTGTAAAAGTGATGACACAAAGAAGATTTAGAGCTGCCGGATCCCTTGGCAAATGGAGCTTGCTGCATATCTATGAAACTATATATTTCTCTGACTTTTTCCGAAAACAAAAAACAACTTTGCAGAGAAACTAACATAAGTTTTGATTTGGGTTAACTACACCACAAGGTTTTAAAATCCGAATTTTTTTAGGCAATCTTCCGAATACCGTATCACCACGAGGACCATTTATCCAATTACAAAACATTCTGAAATCATATAACACAATCAAAACCAATTCCTAACCTTAAAACAAACACAAATCTGCCTACATTTCGATGAGCAACTAGCGAAATCACATACAACTTTTTCTAATCAATTTTTAAAGAAAATAATACAAAAATCACATGTATTACAAGTCTTTATCAATTTTAATGATTTGATAGAAATCACAATATTTCAAAAGTAAAAACTAATTTAAAAAAAAAAAAAAGGAAATAGAAATACCTGTGAGCAAATTCACAGATCTTAAGGTGGTTAGGGCCGATGAGGCGGCGCTGAATCTTGAGGGCGTGTCTGTAAGTGCAACAGAGCCCTAAGAAATAGGCGGTGGCTAATGTGATCTCCCATAGCACCATTTTTTGAATTTTTGATCGATTCTTTGTCGCTGCTTTTGAGTTTCCTTTCGCTGATCTTTTGGTTTTGATGTTAGGCAAGCTTTCTCGCGGGGCTGCCACAAATTTTGATCCTTCTAGTTTTCCCTCTGATTCGCATCACCGAAATAAAGCGTCATCGTGTACGTGGGCATGCTCATTGCCTTTTGATCTCCAGTCCGAATCCTTGCCGAATCCTCTTTGTAAGGATCTCAGAAATTCATGAATTGTGTTTGTTTATCATACATCATGCGGTCAAAAAATATTTTTAATATTTTTATTTAAAAATAAACATAAACAATACTTGACAAAAACTGACCGCACAATGTACGATTCACAGATCTCCAAGATTTTCACCAAAAGGATCCGGAGAGGATCATATTGGTTTGATCTCAACCGTTGGTTTCATCAAATCGGTTTGGTTTGGCTGATGGGCTCTTTTTATACATAGAGGCTCAAACGAGTGAATGAAACTTCAGGCCCACATTCAGCCTTCCAAGTTTTTATTTGTTGAGCACATCCATGTTTTTGTAAAAATTAAGAGTAAAATTGCATGTATGGGTGGGGAAACTGAAAAACCAAATGAAAGCAACTTGGCTGACCAAACTAGTCAAACACATGTCACTTAGTATTACAATTTAGTGATATTCCTCTTCATTTGTTAGTGAGAGGTTTTAGTTTCGATTCTCGCCAAAGGCGAATTTGAACTACATTATTGCTAGCTCATTACGAGACTTAGTCCACTCCCGTCAGTCTGGTTCTCAATTTCTATTCTCCATATGACAATGAAAGCCTTAAAAACCATTTGCTAAACAAACTAAATGCTTTTGAAGATCACTAACCTAGTAAGTTGATGAATCCATATTGTGGAAGAAAATTCCTATCAGAACAGATACGATCTAAAAACTTTCAAAGAAGATAACACGAAGATCAATTAACTAACACTAGTGTGATGTTTTCCAAAGTACCTTATAGGGTTCTGAATTGCAAATTTCTTTCAATGACTTGGATATTTAAAGGGGAGAAGTCCTTTAGTCGTCTGCTAAATTAGGACTAGCCATGTCGACAAAAGGAGTAGTATCCCTATTGGTGGAGGGGTATTCCATTGGTAGATTTCTTGTATAAAACATCTGGAAGTCATGAACTTTATCCTAGACTCGAACAAGTAAGAGCTAATCTTAAAACATGGAATCGGGTAGCAGTGGCGGATCCAGGATTTTAAACTAGGGGGTCTCATTAATAAAGGTCAAAAAGTTTATAGACAAACATAACATTGAAAAGTTAAATATAATACATTTCATTAAAAAAATCATACGCAAAACAACATTAAAAGCTATAAAATCCTAATTCAAGCGTCCATGACGAGGTTTCATAGTCTGAAAATGTTCCATGATAGCTTCATTACCAATACATGAAAAAAAAACATTTTTCTCAATGTAAACAACTAAGCTGTCACTCAACCATTGATCCCCCATTTTGTTGCGACATTAATCCTTAATGATATTCATATCGGAAAATGCCCTTTCCATTGAAGCGGTTGCAACCGGTAAAACCAAAGCCAATTGAACAAACAAATATACATATGCAGATGTTTGATGCAACCCTTTCTCCACCATTTTCTTAGCAAGATCATTAATCCCCCACAATTGAGAAAAATCATTATCAAAACGCACAAAATGAGTATAAATATCAAGTTGATCTTCAAGTGCTGATCTATCTCGATCCGTGAAATCTTTAGGATACAATTGAGCAAGGCAAACAAGCTTTTCTTTATCAAAGGCTACAAATGAATCATTCGGATTCAAACATGCCAAGCAAATAAGCAATTCAGTGTTACTTTCAGCGAAGAGATCATCTAATTATGTAAGTTGGAAATCAATGACCTCAAAAAAGAATTCCACTTTGCAATGATGATGATTGGTCTTTCTTGGAGCCTTATGCAATAACTTCCCTTGAATGACATATGAATCATCCACATTAGGTACCTCAAATTCATGTTCGACACAAAAAAATAATACTTTATCAACCAAAAGATCAAATTTTTCATCATTCCTCATGCAACGTAGTTGTTCTTTACATGTCTTGACTAAAGCCATTGTATTCACAATCTCTTGATCTTTCTTTTGCAATGCTTATGACAAATCATTAGTAACTCCCAATATGGATTTCATCAAAAAGAGGAGAAACACAAACTCAAAAGATTGTATATCTTTTAATAACCTTTTTGCTTCACCAACACTATCATTATAGCAATCTTCAACAATCATGTCAAGCATGTTCACCACAGATGAGAACATTGTAATCAAACTAATCAAAGCGCCATAATGTGAATTCCATCGTGTATCCCCAGCACATTTGAGACTAGTTTCTTGATTTAACCCTTGCCCCATTTCAAAACACTCATTTTCAATAGCATTCATGAGATTTTCTTGTTGTTTCTCTTTAAATGCATCACGACACTTACATGAGCATCCAACAACATTCACCAAACTATTAGTCAATGTGAAAAAAGCAGCAACATCGAAGTTTTTCTTTACTACGGCAACAAGGGCTAATTGTAGTTGATGAGCAAAACAATGAACATAGAATGCACAACTTTCTTCATCCAAATTTTTTTAAGGTCACTGAACTCACCTCTCATATTACTCTCGCCATCATAACCTTAACCTCGTAGGTTGGAGTAGCTCAAATCATGTAGTTTCAAGAACTCATCAATTGACTCTTTTAGTTCACTTGAAGATGTTTTGGTAACATGTTGGACTTCCACGAACCTTTCAATCACTTGACCTTTGTTGGCCACATAATCACCGTCATTTGCTCCTTTGTTGAGACATCACGTGATTCATCTACCATTACAAAAAAGAATTTACTCTCTTTCACTTCCTTCATAATAGCCTTAACGATTTCGAAGGCACATGAATTGACAATATCTTTTTCAATTGAAAGAGCTACTAGCTTGAGATTTCCCAAAGCATTTTCCAACACAACTTCCTTTATTTTCTTGTCATGATTCGCAAGGAATTGCAAGAGCTCTAAATAATTCCCCCTATTATTCGAAGTGTCACTTTCATCGTGGCCACGAAAAGGAAGACCTTGTTGCAACAAGAACTTAGTGCAATCTATTGATGCATTCAAGCAACGACGATATTTCATACACTCTTCTTCTTATTGTTTGATCACAACTACTTCAAGATGTGTCTTTTGGTTCATGAGATAACTAGCTGCTTCTCTAGCTTTATTGTGGACACTACCAATAAGACCAACATGTTTGTCAAAACATTATTTTGCATTCGTCCATTTCTTAAAGCATACTCCAGTGAATGCATCACTTTCTAATTGTGAAAAGTTGATTTTAAAGAGATAGCAATGAAGACAAAATACCGCATCTTTAGATATACTATACTCCAACCAATCATATTCTTCAAACCACGAAACAACAAATCGTCGCTTTTTCTTTGCATGCAAAGTGTATGGGAACTCTTGCTTTGTAGGCCTACAAGGTTCCATTTACAAATATGCTCTTCGGACCTCATCTTGAATATTAAGAGGATAGTCCTTCATTTGAATTCTTTTTCCCAGGTCTCTCTCAAGATTATTAAAATCAATGTCACACTCATTTTGTCTTGAGCTCTAACTACCCGAACAAATAGATGGTCCTATTGGCTTTGGCTTGAAAAATCTTTCCATATTTCTTATTTCTAAACTACACATATGACAAAAAAACACAAAACATATATCAATTAACCAATAAACAAAAATTCCATCTAAATTCTAATGATCAAATGAGTATAAACATAAAACATATCAACAATCATATCAATAATAGACTAAAAATTTCCATCAATATCTAATATAATTTAATTGAGATTAGATTAGAATACCAAAAAACTTACTTAAATTGTGAACCAAATAGTGGTGGTCTAGAGTTTGGAACAAGTGGAGGTATGCTATTGGAGTAATAAAATTAGAATTTTAGGGTTTCAAAATTTGGAGAGTTGGGGATTGGAATTTGGGTGAATATGTAAAAGCTGGGCATTAGGGGAAGTAGAAGATTGGGATTGGGATTTAAAACAATGGACAAACGATAGTGTTTTATCCAATGTTTTTTTTAAAAAAAAAAAAGTTAAAACAATTGGCCAAAACAATGTCGTTTTGGGCCAATTGTTAAAAGGGGATTTTCTTTCTTCTTTGCGCACTATCGTCTTCTACAAGAAGAAGATGCCGCTACAACTTGCAACCTGCACTGCACAAACCTCGTGTTCGAGTACAAGAGGTCCTCGGAAAATTTCTAGCAGCGATTTAGGGTTGCCGAGGGATCCTAGGACCTCTCGGGTCCCTCTGTAGATCCACTATTGTCAGGTAGTAAAGCATTTAACCTTAGCTGTGACTACGTAATTGACCATTCCTCTAAAAAGAGGAGGGACATTTGCTCGTGGGGTTGGAATTTAAAACAATGGACAAACGACAGCGTTTTGTCCAATGTTTTATTTTATTTATTTTTTTAATAAAACAATTGGCCAAAACATTGTCGTTTTGGGCCAATTGTTAAAAGGGGATTTTCTTTCTTCTTCGCGCGCAGTCGTCTTCTCCGAGAAGAAGATGCCGCTGCAACTTGCAACCTGCACTGCACAGACCTCGTGTTCGAGTACAAGGGGTCCCCGAAAAATTTCTAGCAGCGATCTAGAATCACCGAGGGCTCCTGGGACCTCACAGGTCCCTCTGTAGATTCGCTACTGGTAAGTGTATAATAACTCAAATTTATTTCGTGAGGCGTATTCAATTGGGATTTTGAGGTATTTTAATTGATTTATAAATTCATAGATTTTGATGGAGTTTAATTGATTTGTAAAGGTTTCATGTAAACTTTTGGTTCAATTCCCTCGAAATATCAGGGGAAGTTGTGAGATTTGTGATTGCTTAAATACACTAAAAAATCTCTCAAATTCCTCAACTTTTTAAACTTTGTTAAAATCAATTCCTAATTGAGTAAACTTTGAATGTTATAAACTATTTTAAAATTTTAATTGAATACACTTTGAATTTTAAAGAATCACTCAAAGATCCTAATTGAATACACTACATTTATTTAAAAAAAATTAAAATTTCAATCAAATACCCCTAAATTTTTATTAAAAAAATTAAAATCTCTCAAAATTTCGAATGAGACTACTCAAGAAGAGCGAAATTTTAATGATAATTCTTTTATTTTGTTTTAAAGAAAACAAAGAATAGAAACAAAAAGAAAAAAAAGTTTTAATTTAAAAACTCCACATTAGAGTCGTACATTACACACAAGGCCACATCTGACTAATCATTTCTTATCTTTCTCTTTCGCTTTCTCTCTCTGCATTTCTCTCCGTCCGTGAGTCTCTGACCATGCAAAGACAGTCACTGGGCGGGTCACCGGCGTCGAAGCTCCACCAGACACACGGCGGACCCAACGACCAGACCCTCACCGTCGTTGACTCCCCCAACCGCAATAAGGACCTGTCAGTCTTTTCCACCACCGCCGCCTCCTCCTCCTCCTCAATCTCTGCTGCCTACCAAGACGACGAGGATCACAAAGCATCGAAGCCTCACCGTCTGTCGTCACCGCCGCCCATCACACCACACAAATCCATCCACGTTATCCCCGTCCTCACTCTCCTCTGCTTCCTCATCCTCTTCCTCTTCTCCCACATCCCCTCCCAATCAGGTACACTCTTGATCAGTCAACGGCTCTTAGCTCATCTCTTCCTCATTTGAATTCCAATCGTGACCGTCCGTTTTGTTCTCCTTCAGATTTGGCTCAGTTCAATGGCTTCACTAAACTGCCTGGATCGGCGAAACGCGTAGGTACGCAATGCAGATAAAATCATTCTCAATCACTCAATCCTGACCGTCGGTTTTTCATTCCTTAAATTTGTTTTTTGGCTTATTTTTTTTTTGTTTTGTAGTTTCTGCCGACAGCGAAATCGATGACATCGGGCGATTTATTGACATCCGGAAGAGCGATGTTTTGGCTATCCGCAGCCTCCGGAATTTGCAGGACACCCAAACCCAAAAACTCGTCCCCAGATCTCGCTCTCATCGAAAAATCGCCGATTTTTAAGCCGCATTAGCTGGTTCTTTTCTCTGCTGTAATCTCTACGCCACTGCTGTACTGCAGTCTCTCCGTCGGTGGTCACATACGGATGAACTCGCACGTGCCTCACCGTCAGCATCTGTTCGCACGTGCGTCTCCGCTTGCAGGACAGAAGCTGCTTAAGGCTTAAGGCTTTCGTTTTCTTTTATTTTTTTAAATTTTTTTAAAACTAATTTTGGTGTAAAAATATTACATAAGCGCTTGCGTCGCTTAATTTATAGAAAGATTTCGAACAGAGAAATAACGTGATTATATAATTTATATTACTTACAGTTGTTATTTGTTTTTTATTAATTTTTTGAATCATCTGAGTGTGTTGTATGTATTTTTAAAATTTCTGCAATACAATCGATATTTTTATGAAAATATTAGAAAAATCAATAAAAGATATAAAAATGAGGGTAAAGTTTAAATTTCATGTCAAATTAGACAAATTCTTAAATTTAGTTTAAAATCAACAGATATCGTCATTATTTCTAACACATTTGTTAAATATATATAAAAAAAAATTATATTTCATTCAAATCAATGTTTGACGTGTCACATCTGGCCCAGGCAGGACCACTTCCCTGGCCCGACTCCACCGTAGCACGATATTGTCCGCTTTGGGCCCCAACCACGCCCTCACGGTTTTGTTTTTAGGAACTCACACGAGAACTTCCCAATGGGTCACCCATCCTAGGAGTGTTCTCGCGCGTTACTCGCTTAACTTCGGAGTTCCAACGAAACCCGAAACCAGTGAGCTCCCAAAAAACCTCGTGCTAGGTAGGGATGTGAATATACATTTAAAGATCACCCCCTGGGCGATGTGGGATGTCACATGACGACCTTAAAATTTTATTTTAAATTTTTATCATTTTACAACCGATTTTGTTATCAGAATTCAAGATATTCGTCAATATTTTTACAAATTGAAAAAAAACAAAAAAAAGCTTAAACTTGCGCTTGGTGGAGTACAGCTGGATGTTCGCAGTGGACCGTTCTCCAGCTAGAAAAATGTACTAGTGTCCTGGGTGGTGGGGGTGGGAATCAGGTGCCGTTGGCATAATTTGCAACCGCCGTTAACAGCGTTATCATATCGTGGCAACTGTTTTGGTCACTGAATTCAATAATTGATTTGGTACTCATGCAAATCATTGAGCCTGGTACTATTACACGTGTCAATAATTTTTTTATGTTTTGTAATTTGTATCTGTTAGCTAGTAGCTTAAATAAGGTCGTTTTCCATAGGGATTAAATGAATAATTTATCTAAATACCGAATCTTAATTATTTAAAAACAAAGATTGGAAAATGTTGATTTTGAATTTAAAAATAATAAAAATGAATTTAATTAAAAACAATTAAAGAAATTAACTAGAGAACAATTTAAAGAAAATGAATTTGTAAAAGCCTAGGATTCCGTTTCCCCTTAACAATCTTATGCAATTTTATCAATTACATAAGAATTTCTACATATATGCAATTTTATCAATTACTTATGAGTTTCTACATACATGCTTTGAATGTTAGGTTTTCCTAATACATATTTTCCTCGTGATGTTCAAGCGAAAACGTATATCTAACATGCAACTCGTCTGTGATGTTCAGATCAAATATAAACATGTAAGACTCATTAAGTTTTGTGAAAACCCTTTGAAAAACCATGCAACTCTTAAGAGCGTGATGTTCGCCTTAAGTGAACTTACAATTACTAATCACAAGAAGCCTTCCTCAATTTCATGGTGATGTTTCAACAGAAATTGCATCAAATTACTTGTCTAAAAACCCTAATGGTCGCGAATCATTAAGATAATTAGATAGTTTAATCATGGTGATTAATAATTCAAAGCAAGCATGCATCCATTCATAAGCAAATTAATAAAATCACATATGCATGCTAAGTGTGACAGCCCGTTCCGGATTTTCGAACTGTAGGGGTGAAATGACGATTTTGCCCCTAGTATGTTGGTTTCGTTGTGTGGTTGTTTTTGGGTGTTGCTTGGCTGGTTTTGGACCACACACACACCACACTCACTCACCCTCTCTCTCTTGCCCTGTCCCGAGCCCTCTCTCTCTCCCATTTCTATCCTTCTTGTACGGACACAACCAAAACCATCCAAACCTTCACAGATCGAGGAAACAAATTACATATTCGTGCTCGTGAGGTCCTTGGGAGTTCAACCATACCCATTTCAGGTAAGGAAACCTTCGTTTTCACGTCGAACTCGGGATACCCCAATTTGGTCACTGTTCATGCACACGTTAATTCTTGTGTTTTTGGAAATTTCAAGCTTGTAGGAAGCTTGGTGAGGTCCTTAGGAGGCTCGGGGTGGTTCGTTTGAAGGTTTTGGACATCGGGATCGTGAGTTACAAGGTTGGTCGGAGTTGGTGGTGTTTTCCCGGCGAGATTCCATGTGTTTTAGTGCTTGAAAGTGGTATGGATTTGTTCCTCTTGTTGTAAGCTTCATTTTGGTACCAATTTTGTGAAATTTGGTTGAAAAACGAGTGAGATACAAGGTTTTAAAGTTTTCCCGATTTTCTGGTGCCAGTGACGGCTCCGGAGCTTCGCCGGAGAAGATGACGGAATATTCCGTCAGTTTGGACAGAATATTCCTAACGGCGTTAACGGAATCCGTCAGAGTTAACGGAATATTCCTGACGGCGTTAACTGACGCCGTCAGTGTGCCAGGCACGTGCTTGCACGTGGCCGGCGCGTGTGGCCACGTGCGGCGGTGGAAAATTTTTCTAAAAATATGGGGATGTTCCTGAGGTTGAGTAGATCACGTTGGTGTATTCATACACCCCATTTGAGCATTGTATGAGAAGTTATTTCGTGATGTTGGTTATGTGTTTTAAAATTAACGTTTTTATAGTTGTTTCGCATATAGGTGAGACCTATCCCGAGGACGAGCGCGGTCACTCAAGGCAAGGGGGTTACGACCCTTCTACATACCAGTGAGTGGGCTTTTGGTTTTCCGTATATACCTATATACTTATGCTTTTCCCAGAAAATGAATTGAAACGTTTATACGTTTTTTATGCCATGCATTATGTTTGCCGTTTGTTTATGCATTGTTAGTAGCCTTTATATATATGTATGTTAGTGCTGCGGGTGCACAGGTAAGTGTCAGGTGAGTATGGTTTATGCTTATATTCAATAGTGGTTTGAGATGCATAGAGAGCTCATAACTTGCAACCCCGGTGTTAGTGCTCCCGCCCAGAGTTGGGCACAGTCCTTCACGTGATGTTCACCTCCCGCACCACACCCTCATCTTGGATCCAAGTTAGGTGCACAGTCCTGTCGTACATACCACTTTAGGTGGTTCCGACTTGTAGGTGACCTGCGATTATTCGCCCAGCCTTCACGTGATCGTAGCACTTGAGCGTACTATTTATACACCCAGTCCTGTCGTATAGACCACTTTAGGTGGTTCCGACTCGTGTGCAGGTATAGTTAGTGAGATGGAGATTCGAGCTCTAGATTCAGCCGTACAGGTCACGTTAGGTGACTCCGGCTGACAGATTCATGGCATTGATTTGACATATTTCTGAGCATGACTTATATATATATATATATATATATATATATATATATATATATATGTATGTATATTTTACTTTTCTGGGAAGTATACAGGTTTTACGGCGAAGGGTTAGAACTTGTTTATGAAATGGTTTTTGAAAAGCTTTGTTTTTGCCCACTCACACTTTTTGTTTTGCGCCCCTCCAGGTTCTAGTTGGCTAGTACTTGTGGTGGCTTCCCAGAAGATTTCCCCGGCATATCTGACAGATCATCACCAGTGTAGGACCACCTTTGGGGTGTGTTTTTGTAGTGTTGTTTCTCCCGGACTGCATTAGGTCTTCGAGCTCTGAACTTTGTTTTTCACACTTGCGCTTGCACATGTATGCTCTTACCTTGTGTAAAGCTGGTTTTTATTTATTCGTACTTTTATTCTTATTTTATTAGCTTCCGCACTGTTCACATGGTTACGTCACTTCCACGTGACGGCCAGCATGCCCTGATCTCGGTCGGGGTGTGTCACTAAGCCTCATGGCTTCGCCCTAGCAAAATAACTAATTACAAACAATCACAATAAAATATTATTAAGAACAAGGATAGAAAACACCTAGAAAATAAACTTGAATTGTCAAAGGCTTGTGCGTGCATTTCCGCCTCTCCCTCCCTTCTAATCCTAACGACTAAAAAGTCTTATTTATACTACTACAAAATAAAACCCTAAAAAGTCTTAGAATAAAACTAGGAAACATAATAAAATAATAAAACAGAAAATAAAAGGTTTCCTATTTAAACTGAAATTCGGACTTCTTAGAAAATTAGACTTTTAACCAACCAAATTAACTCCGATGTTTTGGCTATCTGCAGCCCTAGGGAAGAAATACAATGATGGGAAATTCTGAAACCACGACAAACAGAACATGCTATGTTTAGATATTGATGGGAAGATGGAGATCGCGATGTGGTCCCACGCCAATGCTCATCGAGGCTCACCACAGCAAAGGTAGCAGCCCTACCACCATGGGGTGCCACCACGGCCATGCCAGTAGCGGCGGTAGCCATTGCAACAGCCCATGGTACACCCCTTGCCTATGGTGGAGAAGCAGTAGCAGCTATAGCCCATAAGTTGTAGGCCAAGACACCAAAGGCAAGCCAGACTCGAGCCCTAGTCGAGGCCGAAGTGGTTGCTTCAATAGTGCAAGCCCATGAGGGGTGAGCACCAACCCATAGTCTAGATAGGGCCCAGACCATTGGATTTAGTTGGTGCAATGCCCCAAACATCTTAGTAAATATAGCCGAGATACTCATTGCTTCGGTTATCTCCACTGCTACTTGCGAATGATATCTTCCTTTGCTTCCTGAGAACGCAATATTCGCAAAAGTATTAGTCAAACAATCCTTGTGGTAAACAACCCTGCATGAGCGATTATACTATAATTTACTTGTACTCTTGCAAATATTTTATGTGATTTTAACTCTATTTGCACAGGTACTAAAAATCATATCACAGGCTGTTGGATTTCAAATGGCTATTTTTCTAGGCCGTTGGATTTATAACGGTAAAAAAAATTTCAACTCTCCTCCAACGACTAAATGACGTGACACAATCTGGACCGTTTGATTTTTCAATGAACATGTTCTTTGGCTTTAAAAAATGAAAAATGCTGTCATTGGCCACATGTCACAATTTGGACTGTTGGATTTCAATTTTTTTTTTTTTGTAATCCAACAATCCAGATTAATTAAGTTAATAAAAACTATAAAAAATTAATTAAAAATCTGAAAAAATAAATAAAAAATAATAATTTTTCTTCTATAAATACCTAACCATAATCTTCCACCTTACACCACATTTCAACATATTCAAATACTTTTAACCAATCTTTCTCACAAAATTTTCATATCCTTTTGTTTTACCAAAAAAAATAAAAAACGGGCTAATGATCCAGGTTCTAATTGGTTAATCATTTAAGATGTTACGTTGTGTTCTAGGTTGGTTCAAGCTACTCAAAGTCATTGGAGAACACTCAACCAATCACTTACTTCTTGGAGAGACACCCTAGCCTTAGCCAATTCTAATATTCAAAGTAGCAAAAATTTAGCGGATCAGGTGATAATATATTATTTTTTTAGTTTGTATTATACCCAAATTGACATTAACTACTTTGACTATAAATTTTTCTTCGCCCGCATTTTGTAGACTCTTAATGCATAAGCTTGGTACAATGCAAAAAACAAAAACAAATCATTCTGATGTGAATTTTGTAGACACTTCCCGCATTTTTTCTTTTCCCACATTTTGTACACACTTCTGCAAATGCTCCATATGAAATCACTCGCAAGATAGTATTAATATTTTACTCATAAAGGAGACCCATAACACTAAAAGTATCATTCTTTTACCTAAAGTTATGAATCATGGTTGCAAACAGCAATCATGATTTTGTTGAACAAATGTCGTTGCATTCTAAAACAACGTCTAAAGTACACATCAGGGTATGCACTTGAGACAAAATAATCGTCCAAGAAATCTTTACTTCGTTGTTTCCTCCTTCTATTGAGGTTTATGGAACGCTTTGGCTTGCAGATCTCACTCACAACTTGCATGACACGACGGGTGACACTCCTCGACCTAGGATGTCTAGTAGGACTCCGAATCGAGCTGTGTTGGCTGATACCTGGAAAGTGATGAAGCCATAAAGTGTATCAATGTGGAAGATGTGAATAAATTTAAACCTAAAAGTGCCTAAATACAAAAGTGTGCGGTGAGCAGGTGTGAACCCATTTCACACGTGATGACAGAGCATAAGTACAGTACAATAAAATAGGGTGAGAATTATACCATCGATGATAATCGCCTACACCAATATTTGCCAATAATCCTCGTCGGTACGAAAACTCTGCTACTAACACCTGGAGGGGCGAAAAACAAAGGTGAGTAGGCCTAAAAATAAATCTTTAATAATAAAAAAAAACCTTTCGAAAGCGTTATAACCCCAAACTGTAAAATCCGTATAGTTCCCAGAAAATAATACTACTACGTAGGTATAAAAACCAATGCACAAGAGTAGCGAAAACTGAAGTATGCCATGTCATAATATCTCAGCAATAATAAATGTAAGTCAGGTGTGAAAGCAATATAAAATAGTATGCCAATCGGAGTCACCCAACGTGACCTGTACGACTGGACCTGTAGCTCATCAATATAGGCTAGCACACAAGTCGGAGTCATCTAGTGTGACCTGTACGACAAGCTGGGTATAAATATGTACTCTCAAGTGTTACGATCATGTGAAAGCTGTGCGATAAAATGCAGGTCACCTATGAGTCGGAACCATCTATTGTGGTATGTACAACAGGCTGGCACCAGACTTGGATCCAAGGTGAGCGTGCGGTGCAGAAGGTGAACAATCACGTGAAGGCTGGCCTTAGCCCAGGGTGGGAGCACTAATACCGGGGTGCAGCCATGATAAGCTCTAAATAAATGTGTGCATACCAATGCAATACAACCCATTCAATCACATAATACTCACCTGAAGCTTACCTGAGTCTCCGTAGCATCACACAATACAATTCATAAGTGTAACATTGCAATATTTAAAATGTAACTTACTTACGACATGGCAAGCAAAGTATAGTTCCATATAAAAAAAACGTTTCTGGAAACTGTAAAGTTTATACACACACACACACACACTATAAAAAGGAAAAAGACCCACTTTCCTGAGGTCCGCACTACAACTCCCTAGCACGAATATCAAGGCATCACGAACAATCGTCGCCTAGAACAAATATCAATTCACAACTTAGAATTCTTATCGATAGAACACGTAACTTACGTAAAACACATCCCCAATGACGTTCTAGAATGATTTGAAATTCATTGACTAAAAGTCAACTATCAATCAAAGGTCGAAAGTAGGGTCCACAACCCTACGTAACTCAATCTGAAAGATACGTTCCTCAGATTTCTGATCCGTAACTTCCAAAGATCCACATTATGCTTCTAAAACATCATACTAAAGTTTCATTACGATCCAACGGTTGGATCTCTGTCAATTGCAAATTCAAGTGGCGGTCAACGTTTTATTTTATGAACTAACAAATCCAATTTGGGAAGATCCGTAAGTTCCAGCTATCCTCAAATATTACGTTCTACAATGCATTAAAGTTTGGTGACGATCCAACGGTCGGATCGTCAAATCATATAATAATCAAGTGATGTACCTTAATCAAACTAGGTTCACAATAATCAAATCACATCATACAGATATCAAATCTGAGGTCAAGATATCAATTTAGCGTAAAATAACATCAGCGGCTCACTAGCCACGTGCCGCCGCACGCGCCACCGTGGGTGGCGGTTTCCGGCGAACAGAAACCCAATTTTCCGACCAACTCCAAAAATTACCAAATTTTATAGAAATGTAGATCTCAATGAGTAGAGCAAGTTTCATACTTGTGACCAAGGCCAATTTGGCCGGGAAATGCCCCAATTTCACTCGAACCCACTGAAAACCCTAATGTTTGGGTATCCTCGATTCAACCTCCATACTTGCTCCGATGCCTCCTCCACTACTTGGGCTTTGTTCCTGAGGTTTAGTGAAGCCTATTGGTGGTGGTAATTGTTTGGGCTAGCTTCACACTTTGGGGATTCACCACCGTACACCCACACACCCTACCATCAGGTTTTCCCCAAAACTAGCACCAAAATCCTCCTAATTTTGGGTGGAAATGGAAGAGGGAGAGGCTAGATGATGATTGGGAGCGGTAGATTGGTCCAAATCGTCTGAAAAATGGTGGAAAGGCGACGGGAAGTTGCCGGAATACGGGTCGAGTCACGATTTTGGGCGAGGGATCTATGATCCCGTTCCCCCCTCTTACATCCCTTCCCTTCCTTTCTTCCCTTTCTCATTGGTCCTCTCTTTTCTCTCCCCTCTTCTGATTGGGTGTCCCGCCCCTCCTTTCTCTCCTTTATATTTCATCTCCACCGCCCATCTTTTCTTCCCTTTAATCTGGGCCACACACGTGGCTTTCCAGGTTTTGCTCCAAAAATATGGAGCATTCTAGAAAATAATAAATTTACAATTTTTCCTCCACTTCATTCGTTAATAACTCCTTCGTTATTACTCCAAATTACGTTCCGTTTACGTCCACGCGTTCGTAGCGACGAGTACCACGAGGATACGCCAAGAAAATGGATCTTATGTGACTCGACAAGGTGATCAACAAAAGTCAATGCATTTGCCTCGAAGGGCATTTTCAAAATCTCACATTTTCAAATTATAAAAACCATAGTTTTTTTGGGACAGGTCATTGCAACGGGAATGTGAGGCTCTCTCGCTTCTTGCTTCATCATCTCTCCTTCTACATTGTTCATCCTCTTCCTCTTCCATTTCTTCCACCTCATTTTCTTCCTCTTGGAGATCGAACATTTCTTCTTCTTGCTCAACGATTTCCCACAAGATCCTCGAAGAAGACGTTGTAAGAACTCCAAATTTATAAACTATTAAGAAGGATTTTGAGAGATTTTGATTTTGATGTGTGATTTCTTAGGATGGGTGGTGGGTTATATAGACAAAAAGAAAAGGATGAGGTTGTAAATAATACCATGTGGCACGCCGTGATTGGTTAAAAATCTTATCGAATATATCCTTAAGGATACTAAACAAATAGTGACATGTGGCACGATGAGATTAGTTAAAAATCTTATCGGAAATCTGTCCTTTACGATTCTAAACAAGTAGTGACACGTGGGGCCACTACTACAAAAGGACCTAATAGTGTCAGTTGTTGCGTCGGTTTAATATTATATAGTGGCGAAAAAGAGATTTGCGACACTCACTGAAGATGACGTCGTATTTACTGTCGCTTATAAGCGCCATAAAATTTCTCTGTCTCTTTTAAACCGACGTAAAAATTTAGTGTCGCTTATAACCGACATATATTTTAATATTTTTAAGTACTGGTGTCGCTTTAAATAAAATAGTGTCGCTTTTAAGCGACATAAACTATGGGTGTCGCTTCTAGGCGACACTAATTATTGTTTTTAATATTTTAAATCCTGCGTCGGTTTTGAGCGACATATATTTTGAAAACCAGTGTCGGTTGTAAGTGACACATTGATGGTCTTTATATCTCTCCCCCGTGTTTTCTTTTTCTTCTCTTGCACTCTTATTCGTTCTTCCAATTTTTACAAAAGTCTCCCGTGTTCTCTCTCTTTCAGCTTTCTCCTTTGGTTTTCAAACTTCATTTGTTCCTCTTCACAACAGTAAGTTTTTCTTGCTTATAATATTTTTATTTTCTCCTCTTATGTTTAATTTTTAGTTACAATTTATTTTTGTAGGAAATTTATTTGAGTTGGTTGAGTACATAAAGAATTGTTGACGTCGAAATTCTTCAACAAATCAGGTATGTATCACTAACTTCTTTAATTTTTAAATTGTATAATACACAAGTTTATTTATTTAAAAATTATAATTTAAGCACTTAGATAAAATTCTACTATTTTTGTTAAATTAATAAAAATTTAGTCGAATTAATTAATTTTGTCACTCTAATTGTTATTTTAATTTGTTGTTATTTTGATAATTTTTTGTTGTTATTTACTAGAATGGATTAGATGAACATAATTTGAATTGTTATGAGAAAATGGAATGAATAATATTTATAAGCATTTATGTTAAATTAACAATATTAAATATAACATAAACTTATAATATTGATTAATATAAGAATATATTATGTTAATTTTTTTTTTTTTTTTGCACTCTAATTGTTATTTTAATTTGTTGTTATTTTGATAATTTTTTGTTGTTATTTACTAGAATGGATTAGATGAACATAATTTGAATTGTTATGAGAAAATGGAATGAATAATATTTATAAGCATTTATGTTAAATTAACAATATTAAATATAACATAAACTTATAATATTGAGTAATATAAGAATATATTATGTTAATTTTTTTTTTTTTTTGCACTCTAATAAGAATATAACCTATACTTATAATATTTAGGAATATAAGAATATAAGAATATAACCCTTCATAAGAATATAACCTAAACTTATAATATTTAGGAATATAAGAATATAAGAATATAACCCTTCATAAGAATATAACCTAAACTTATAATATAAGAATATCCTTTCATATAAGAATATAACCTAAACTTATAATATTTAGGAATATAAGAATATATTAATTAATTTTTTTTGCACTCTAATTGTTATTTGAATTTGTTGTTATTTTGATAAGTTTGATAACTTTTGGTTGTTATTTATTAGAATGGATTAGATGAGCATAATTTTGATAACTTTTTGTTGTTATTTTAATTTGTTTTTACTATAATAGGTGTTGAAAATTAAAAGATTGCAATCGTGACAGAGTTCGAGGGGTGAAAGATAGAAATTGAAAATTTTGATAGTTATGCCTACATGATAGGGATTGAAAGATTGTAGGCATCTTAGTGTCAACGTAATATTTTACCTTCGTAAAGTGGTAAAATATGGACAAGAGTTGGTTGACAATACCCCGCAATTTTGAAGCGTATACAACTGGAATTAATTTGTTTTTGGATCAAGCAGTTGCAAATGGTGTTGGTCCTGATAAGTTTAGATGTCCTTGCAAAAGATGTTGTAATCGATATACTTTTGTTAGGAACACCATTGTTGAACATCTCATATTGTATGATATGGATAAAGATTATAAAAACGCTTGTTGGTGACATCATGGCGAGCAAAACATTGGAGAGCAAAATGTGGGAATTAGAGAAGAAGAAACAGGAGATGAGGTGATTGGCATGCATGATTTTCTTAATGATGTATTTGTCCAACCATTAACAGAAGAAGGTGTTGGGCCATCTACTGAACCCCCTATTGAGGAAGGGCGTCCAGAAGAGGTGCAGACTTTTTTTAAGTTGCTTGAAGAGGCAGATCAAGATTTGTGGCCAGGTTGTAAGGAGTTTAAGAAATTGGAAGCAGTTGTAAGATTGTATCAGATCAAGTGTTTAGCGGGAATGCCTGACGAGATCTTCACCACTTTACTGGAGTTAATTAAAAGAATGTTGCCTGAAGGGAATTGTTTGCCTGAATCCTGTTATAAGGCAAAAAAACTTATAAATGACTTGGGGCTGTCGTATGTGAAAATTGATGCATGTCCCAATGATTGCATGATCTATTGGAAAGATACTTCAGATTTGACCATGTGCTCAGTTTGTGGTAAATCAAGGTATAAAATTACCAATGCAGAGGATAGCTCGAGGAAAAAGGTCGCAGCTAAGGTTATGTGGTATTTTCCTTTAAAACCACGATTGCAACGATTTTTTATGTCGAAGCATATGGCTGAACATATGAGATGGCATGCAACTGAATGTCCAAAGGATGAGTTTATGAGACATCCTTCAGATTCTCCCGCATGGAAGCATTTGGATAATTTATATCCGGATTTTGCGTCAGAAATTCGAAATGTCCGATTAGGGTTAGCCAGTGATGGATTTAATCCTTTTGGGAAAATGAGGAATGATCATAGCACATGGCCTGTGGTGCTTTCTGTTTATAATTTGCCACCTTGGATGTGCATGAAGCAACCAAATTTGTTATTGTCTTTGTTAATACCAGGACCGCGCAGTCCTGGTAAAGAGATTGATGTATACATGCGTCCATTGATTGACGAGCTGAATGAGTTGTGGGAGGTGGGCATTCCCACTTATGATGCGTATTCCAACCAAAGTTTTACGATGAAGGCTTCCGTGTTATGGACTATAAGTGATTTTCCGGCTTATGGAATGTTGTCAGGATGGAGTACACATGGCTATAAAGCTTGTCCACATTGCATGCATGATAAAGAATCTATTTACTTGCCAGCGAGTCGCAAGATTTGTTATATGGGGCATCGACGTTTTCTTGAAGATAATCATAGGTTTCGAAGGCAAACCATCACTTTTAATGGTCGTCGAGAGCATCGTAGTGCACCAAGGCAGTGGACTGGTTTACAATGTCTCGAAGAACTTTCTACATTGAGATTTACTTTTGGAAAACCAAACAAGGATGCTTCAGTTGGGCAACGCAGAAGAAGAGCTTCGAGCAGTACAAGTAGTAACAGTCAGTGGAAGAAGAAATCGATTTTTTATGAACTACCTTATTGGAGGCATCTGTTGATTAGACACAATCTTGATGTTATGCATATCGAGAAGAATATATGTGACAGTGTGGTGGGAACATTGCTAGATATAGAAAAGTCTAAAGATGGATTGGCGGCACGTGCAAATCTTGAATTCTTGAACATAAGACATAGTCAACACCCACGTAGAGAAGGAAATAGAACATTTCGACCTCCAGCATTGTTCACATTGAAAAGAGAAGAAAAAACTGCGTTTTGTAAAGTATTGTCTACTATTCGGGTCCCAGATGGATATTCATCAAATCTGTCGCGATGTGTGCACGTGAATGAACGAAAAATACATGGGTTGAAAAGTCATGATTGCCATGTTTTAATGCAGCAGTTACTCCCGCTTGCAATACGCCCGGTTTTGCCTAAAGCTGTTACTATGGTTTTATTAGAGTTGAGTGCAATTTTCAGACAGTTATGTAGTAAGGAGTCTGAGGAAGGATTTAAGCAACTGAATTCAAGAATTGCCTTGACATTATGTCAACTTGAGAAAATATTCCCTCCTGCATTTTTTGATATAATGGTGCACCTCCCAGTTCACTTGGTAGATGAAGCAGCTCTTGCAGGGCCTGTTCAATATAGATGGATGTATCCAATTGAATGGTAATGAATAAATTTTTATAATTTTTTTACAATTGTAGTCATAACTTTAATTAATAATTATAATAATTTGTATTTCGTTTTATAATTGTAGGTATTTGCAAACACTGAAGCGCTATGTTCGTAATAAGGGTCGTCTTGAAGGTTCTATTGCTAAAGCATATTTGGTGGATGAGTGCTTGTCATTTTGTTCCATGTATCTTAGAGACGTTGAGTCTCGTCGTACCCGTAGAGGCCGAAATGAAGATGGTATTGGACGTGGAGTATCTGGTGGGTTATCAATTTTTGACTCGAAAGGATGTTATATGGGTTCAGGAGAAAATGTGGAGCTCGATCTAAATGTTCTTGATCAGTGCCATAGATACATTCTAAATAATTGTGATGAGGTTAGCCCATTTAGAAGGTAAGAACGTTTAATCATACGTCTTAATGTTTTATTGGTTTTCTTAACTTTGAAAAAATAATTATCTAAATTGGACATAATTGTGTAGGCAACATGAAGAATTCTTGAAAACTAAACATCGTCGAGAAAGGTTAACTATGCGACAAATTAAGGAGCTAAGCAAGAAAGAATTTCCAGAATGGTTCAAGCAACCTGTGAGTTGATATAACAATCATATTATTTATTTATTGTTTTGCATTTTAATTATAACATGTTTATTCTGTCAATTTTTATTTTCATACTTATTACAGATGAATTCAAGATATGATGCTAATGACACATTGATATCTCAAGACTTGCATTGGCTAGCTAATTATCCTAGTAGGGTTGTGAGTAGATACAAAAGTCACATTGTTCATGGATTTAGATTTCGTATAAAATCTGTGGATGATAAGCATAAGAATCAAAATTGTGGTGTCTTTGTACCTGCAAATGTTCCTGGAGCAATTGGGCAAGTGAATTGTTATGGTAGAGTTGTAGATATGTTCGAGGTCAAATATTGTGGTCCTACTGAAGCAGGAGATAGGGGTCGAGCTGTGATGTTATTTAAGTGCGAATGGGTTAATAGTGAAAGTCCACGAGGAATGAAGACTGATCAATATGGATTTACTATGGTGAATTTCAATCAATTGGGATTTAAAGAGGATCCTTTCATACTAGCATCACAAGCATTACAGGCATTTTATGTGGAGGACGCGATTGAAAAAGATTGGCACGTAGTTGTTCGAACTCAGCCAAGAGATTTATTTGACGTGTTAGAGGATAGTGATGCTATTGATGATTATGCCATGCCGAACTTGGATGATCGAATTCTTGATAATGAAAATTTCCATTCAAGGGTTGGCGTGGAAGAGACTCCCTTTCTTGAATCATTAGCGTTGCCTACCGGGTTCGTTAATCATGCCAATACCGACGATGAGTTAACAGATGATGACAGGGAATAAATATATTAATTATTTTTTGTATTAATTAGACTTTGTTTCATTTTGTATGCTATGATATCGTATCATAAAATTATATTTCTGTTTTTTTTTTTTTTTTTTCTTGTTTCCTGTCGCTTTTAACCGACGGGATATGTCATGTGTGTCAGACTTAGCGTCGGTTTTAACCGACGCAACCTTAGCCTATTCCGACGCAATGTTAACCTTACGTCGGTTTTATGCGACGCATTATTATCATATTTCGACGCAATGTTGTGAATCATATGTAATAATTATATATAATTTAACAGTTTTAAAAACTATAATAATTATATATATTAACTTAAAAACTATAATAATTATATATTAATTTAACACCCCTAAAGACTTGATTTGTCTCATGCATAATCCCACATACTATTTTTTATGCATGGCCATGGAATGTTCTACTGCATGCCAAGTGTGGTGTCATTATTATTATTATTATTTATAGTTAAAACGTGTTTATATTGTTTTGCAAGTGTGAAGGGGTAGTCATGGAAGAAAATGGCTCTATCAATTGTCGATCAGTTCCGTCCCTTGATAAACACATTATTGAAACCAGTTCCATCCCTTAATATGATTCCTTTCTATTCCATATATGGTCCCTTGACATATAATCGAATTAATTACCCTTTATGTCACCATACACATTCCAATTTTTTCTGACCTTGTATTAGGTATAAATGAAAGAAAAATCAGTAAATAATTTAGAGTATTAATTTAAAAACTATAATAACTATAATTTAGAGTAAATAATTATATATATTAATTTAAAAACTATAATAATTATATATAATTATATATTAATTTAACAGTTTTACTGTGACATCCCACATCGTCCAGGGGAGTGATCCTTAAATGTATATTCTCATCCCTACCTAGCATGAGGCCTTTTGGGAGCTCATTGGCTTCGGGTTCCGTAGGAACTTCAAAGTTAAGCGAGAAGGGGGCTAGAGCAATCCCATGATGGGTGACCCACTGGGAAGTTGCTCGTGAGTTCCCAAAAACAAAACCGTGAGGGAATGGTAAGCCCAAAGCGGACAATATCGTGCTACGGTGGTGGAGCGGGCCCGGGAAGGGATCCGCCCCGGGCCGGGATGTGACAATTGGTATCAGAGCCAATCCCTGGCCGGAAATGTGCCGACGAGGACGTCAGGCCCCTAAGGGGGGTGGATTGTGACATCCCACATCGCCCAAGGGAGTGATCCTTAAATGTATATTCCCATCCCTACCTAGCACGAGGCCTTTTGGGAGCTCATTGGCTTCGGGTTCCGTAGGAACTTCAAAGTTAAGCGAGAAGGGGCCTAGAGCAATCCCATGATGAGTGACCCACTGGGAAGTTGCTCGTGAGTTCCCAAAAACAAAACCGTGAGGGAATGGTAAGCCCAAAGCGGACAATATCGTGCTACGGTGGTGGAGCGGGCCCGGGAAGGGATCCGCCCCAGGCCGGGATGTGACATTTACACCCCTAAAAACTATAATAATTATATATATAATTATTATATGAATTCTACGAAACTAATTTCAACGATCCAACCGTCAAACATGTTTGTATATAATTCGAGATCGTATACGAAAAAAATCGCAAAAAACAAACATTCTGGGATGAAGTAACGAGACAAAAAATTTTGACGGTTATCAATGAAAAATGACGATTTAACGGTTATTTTAAGTTCGATTTTGATGATTTTTTACAGCTACACTCCTTGAACCTATATGAATACAATGAATGAATTCAATCTTCAAATTAAAATATTTATACTAGTGGATACCACAAAATCTTACGTTATACTTAATGAAAGTATGAATAAACTCTTAAGTCTTAGTGAATCTATCGTTTTGATGGGATACGCATTCTACGAAACTAATTTCAACAATCCAACCGTCAAACATGTTTGTATATAATTCGAGATCGTATACGAAAAAAATCGCAAAAAACAAACATTCTGGGATGAAGTAACGAGACAAAAAATTTCGACGGTTATCAATGAAAAATGACGATTTAACGGTTATTTTAAGTCCGATTTTGATGATTTTTTACAGCTACACTCCTTGAACCTATATGAATACAATGAATGAATTCGATCTTCAAATTAAAATATTTATACTAGTGGATACCACAAAATCTTACGTTATACTTAATGAAAATATGAATAAACTCTTAAGTCTTAGTGAATCTATCGTTTTGATGGGATACGCATTCTACGAAACTAATTTCAACGATCCAACCGTCAAACATGTTTGTATATAATTCGAGATCGTATACGAAAAAAATCGCAAAAAACAAACATTCTGGGATGAAGTAACGGGACAAAAAATTTCGACGGTTATCAACTAAAAATGACAATTTAACGGTTATTGTAAGCCCGATTTTGATGATTTTTTACAGCTACACTCCTTGAACCTATATGAATACAATGGATGATGATCAATGAAAATTGATGATTTTGTAAAAAGAATAAAATGCAAGCTTTGAGTTACATTGATAATGTTTCAACTTTTGAGAAATGCTCATCTACTCCATTATAGTAAATAACAACCAAATGTTATCAAGGTTATCAAAATAACAACAAATTAAATGTTATCAAAGTCATCTAATCCATTATAGTAAATAACAACCAAATGTTATCAAAGTTAAACTTTTGAGAAATGCTCATCTAATCCATTATTGTAAATAACAACCAAATGTTATCAAAGTTATCAAAATAACAACAAATTAAATGTTATCAAAGTCATCTAATCCATTATAGTAAATAACAACCAAATGTTATCAAAGTTAAACTTTTGAGAAATGCTCATCTAATCCATAATATATACTTATATTACTAAATATTATAAGTTTATGTTATATTTAATATTGTTAATTTAACATAAATGCTTATAAATATTATTCATTCCATTTTCTCAAAACAACTCAAATTATGTTCATCTAATCCATTCTAGCTAGTAAATAACAACAAAAAATTATCAAAATAAAAATAAATTAAAATAACAATTACAGTGCAAAAAAATTGATTCAACTTAATAAATTTATTATTAAAATATTATATGAGATAACATAACTGATTACTTTTTAATTTTGGATTAAAATTTTTTATTTTTTTTGTTTCTATTTTTATCCTTGTTCTCTTTTTTTTGTAAGTTAAAACTTTTTTTTTATGTTGGGCGGGAATTTTCCCGGTTTTTTTGCACGGGGGAATGGGTTGGAACACTTTGTCAGTCATTATCATGTCAAATTATGCTTATATTGGCTTTAACCGATGCAAAATTATACACTTTCGAGACTATCTGCTACAATGGATTTTCTGTCAGAGACACTACACAAATTTGTTCTTATTTCGACGCAAATTTTATCTTATTTCGACACAAACTTGTTCTTATTTCGACGTTATAAAAATCTGTCAGTCTAACGTCGGTTTGAACCGACGCAATGTGGCCTAATTTCGACGCTACTGACATAGTATGTCAGGCTATAATGATGGTTGAGTCAGACGGTACTGTCAGGCTTTCAGTCAAAAGCTATAATAATGACATAGTGTCGGTTTTAAGCGACACAATGGGTCCTTATTTCGACGCTCTACAAACTAACGTCGGTTTTAACCGACGCAATGGGTCCTTATTTCGACACTATGCCACATAACGTCGGTTTTAACCGACGCAATGGTCTGAAAAGTTGTCAGGCTTTCTGCCTAATTTATGTCAGGTTACGTGTGTAGGCGAAAGCCTAAACTATGTCAGTTACGTGTGTAGGCTTTCTGTCAAAAGGCTGTTAGGTCGAGTCAGACCTTGTGTAGGTTTTAACCGACGCAAAGTGTACAATATTCGACGCTATGCAATTATCCATATTTAAATCTTCTTTATTTCCTATCTCGTCTCTAGCTATCCCCCACTTCTGTCTCTCGTCTCTATCCCCCACTTCAGCCATATTCCTTCCACTTCTGTCTCTCGTCTCTTTCCCCCATTTCAGCCATATTCCTTCTCCTTCCATTAAATTTTGCTATGGATAGTTCTCGTGAAGATCAACGTTCTGAAGAACGTCACTTGGAAGAGGACGAAGGTGATGCTGGTTCTTTTTTGAATTGTTATTAATGTCAGTTTTTATTTTAATTTTTTTGTGTTTGTGTTTGAACTATTATTATTGCTAAACTGAAAATATACATTTGTTTCCTGGTTTTTAATTGTGTGTTTGTATTAACAAGGTACATCTCAACGGAGGCGTGGACCCTCAATTCCTAAATGGACGAAACAGCTTTGTTCGTTTGATTCGTCCGGAAAATGCATTAGTGATAATGCTAGTGCTTTTTCAAAACATGTAGCAGCAGAGGTTAGGGACTATAGAAATCTGCCGTTGGAGAAAGATTGGCGTAAGGTTACGGAAGAAGATAAGGAAGCTTTCTGGAATAGAATAAAGGTATGGGTGTTTTTATTTTTAGTTGAAAATAGAAGAATAAGTCAATGATTGTAATAATAATTGACTAGCGTGATTTTTTTTTGTTTCTTGTTTTTATGTATGTAGGGAAATATTTTTTTTGAAGATGCAAATATAGTAAAAATGCCTTTGATCCGTCATATGACGCTTAAGATTGCGGAGCATGCGCATAAAGAGTTTAGAAATAAGTTAAAAAAAAAGTATTATACAAAAAGAGCAGAGGAGGTGCGCAGCGAGCCTCCTCCTGATGTGATTCCTGCCCAGTGGGAAGATTTGTTGGCATATTGGAATAGAGACAAAACAAAGGTAAACCTCACACGATTTATTTCGTTATAACTTTAAAGTTGCCTAATATAATCTTTTTTTTTTCTTTCGTTTTTTTTTCAGGAGGTTGCTGAAAAAAATAAGATTAATCGGGGATTGAAATCAATGAACCATACCACTGGTACAAAATCCTTTGCAAGAGTGCTGGAAGAATATGTATGGATTGTACATTTTGAAGAAATGATTAATTTTAAATAATTATATTTATTTTTAGTATGAGGTTTGCTTAAGTTGTTTGTATGAAATTTTATTTTTGATAAAGCGGAAGACGCATGGGAAAGAAGCAGATCCTGTAACCTTTTTTCATGAATGTCATACACGAAAAGATAAAACATGGATTGATGAAACATCGGAGCGTACAGGGGTAATAGATTTTTTCGTGTTAGTATTTGATTTTATTAGTATTTATTATCTATAGCTTATTTTTCTGTTTTACGATTGAATTTTTGTTTTTAAAAATTGTAATGCAAGTCAACAATGGAGAGCAATCTGCAAACATTGATTGAGTCGGGCCAGGAGGATAGTGAAGATCTTAGGACCCAAGTTTATGTTGATACTATGGGTCCTGAGAGGCATAATAGAGTCAGAGGATACGATCATGGTGTGACTCCTGATATGGTGTCTTATGCATCTTCTTCATCTTCTACATCAATTTCCTCCAGGAGATCATCTAAGAGTTCAATGGCGTTGCTGATGACTCAAAATAATGAGTTGAAAATGAGGGACGAAAATAATAATAAACGGATTTCGGACCTAGAGAACAAGCAAAATCAGTTGTTTGCATGGTTTTTTCAAAGATTTCAGCCACAACCACCGTATAGCTCGGGAACCCAACAATCAGGCCAGAGTCAACCTCCTCAACAGTCGGGCCAAAGTCAGCCTCCCCCTGCATATCCGTATGCTGGCCATAATCAGCAACCTCCATATCCTGTGTATCCGATGCCTGCGCAGCCCATGCCATACATGCAGCAGCAGCCCATGCCATACATGCAGCAGCCGCCCATGCCATACATGCAGCAGCCACCTTATCAAGTGCCAGTATATCGACCTGAGATGGCTGCTCCTAGTGGATCTTTTCCTGAAGTTCCAGCTGGGGGGTTTTCTGGAATGCTTGCAGGTGTTGGATTTGATGTGGACTTGTCGAGGATTTTTGGATCAGATGGAGGATCTCAAGGAGGAGGATCTCAAGAAGGAGGATCTCAAGAAGGAGGATCTCAAGGAGAAGGTTCTCAAGCAGAAGGATCTGGACGACGTTCAGGCGCAGATTCGGTTGGGTAGTTTAATTGGTTCTTTTTCTTGTCGGTTAAATACGACACTATAATTGTTCTATCTTTTTGTTTTTTTATGTTATGTTTGTAATGTCGGATTTAATGTTTGTTACGACGGACGACTTGTTGGATTTTATGTGAAATGTTAGATGTACAGTTTGGCACTATTGTTTTTGTTATTTATTTTCATTAATGTTTATTTAGATCTTAAAATTTATAATTTTGATTATATAATTTATTTTAGTTGGAATTAATTAAAATTGCATGCAGTTGTCCATCTATTTTTATTATTATTAACAAATATAGTGTCGGTTAAGACCGTTACTGACACACCTCGACCGAGATCAGGGCGTGCTGGCCGTCACACGAAGGTGACGTAGCCATGTACGCGTGCGGAAGCTATGAAGATAGTAATATAAAAGTACGAATAATTAAAAACTAACTAGCATACAAAGTACTAGTGTATGTGAGACACAATTTCAGAGCAAGTCTACAGCAGTCAAAAAGGAAAAATGCGACATATATACACCCGAAGGTGACCCTACAATGGTGAATGTCTGTCAGAATTGCCGGGACGCCCTCTGGGATAAACCACCGCACTTGCTAGACCACTAGAACCTGGAAGGGCGCAAAAACAAAAGCATGAGTGGGCAAAAACAAAGTTCTTTGAAAACTCTTTAGCAAAATACATTCTAACCCCTCGCCGTAAAACCTGTATACTTCCCAGAAAATGAACATATATACGTATGTATAGATATGTCAATCATGCTCCAAAATATTCCATTCATGCTCGAGAATATGCCACAACAGAATCTCATAATCAAATGTAAATGCTCAAGCGTAATTCACATCAATAACGTATAATCTGGCAGCCGGGAGTCACCTAACGTGACCTGTACGGCTACATATAGAGCTCCAATCTCAACTCAATAACTGAATCTGCACACGAGTCGGAACCACCTAACGTGGTCTGTACGACAAGACTGGGTGTAATATATACGCTCTAGTGCTACGATCACGTGAAGACTGTGCGAATAATCGCGGGTCACCTACGAGTCGGAACCACCTAATGTGGTCTGCACGACAAGACTAAGCACCTACTTGGATCCAAGGCGAGCGTGTGGTGCGGGTGAACATCACGTGAAGGACTCTGCCCCTCTCTGGGCGGGAGCACTAACACCGGGGGTGCAGATTATGAGCTCTCTAAGCATTTCAAACTACTACTGCATAACAACATGAATACCACTTACCTGGCACTTACCTGCACGTCCACAGCACCAAATACACATATATATATATATGTATGCCACTACTAATACATGCGATGATGCGTAAACAACATTCATATGATGCATGGCATAAAACAAATAACCTTTTCTATTTAATTTCTGGGAATATAAATGTATATAGGTATATACGGAAAACAAAAGCCCACTCACTGATAAGTGGAAGGGTCGTAGCCCCCCTGCCTCGAGTGTGTACGCTCGTCCTCGGAAAACGAATCACCTATACGCGAAAAAGCTACGAAAGCGTTAATTTAAAAGCACATAACCAACTTCTCGTAATAACTTCTCATACATTGCTCAAAATGGACAATTGAATATACCAACGTGCTCTACACAACCTCAGGATCACACCCATATTTTTAAAATAATTTTTGGACCACGCACGCGCCCCCACGCGCCTGAATAGGCACGGACCTACGCGCCCCCCACGCGCGGCCACGTGCCATGCACACTGACGGTGTCAACAGACGCCGTCAGGAATATTCCGTTAAACTGACGGAATATTCCGTTAAACTTGACAGATTCCGTTAACGGCATCAGGAATATTCCGTCAGATTTGACGGAATATTCCGTCACCTTCTCCGGCGAGACTCCGGCGCCGGCGACGGCGCCGGAAAACTGGAAAAATTTCCAACCGTGTTTTCTCACTCGTTTCTCAACCGTTTTTCATGATTCAAACGCCAAAATGAAGCTTAGGACTAGTAGAACAACGTTAGACCACTTTTACAAGCTAAAACTCACTAGATCATACCTGCAACAACAATCCAAGTTCGGCCAACTTTGAACAGGACGATCCCGACGTCCAAACTCGTCCAACGATACACTCCGAGGTTCCTTGGGACCTCACCAACACATCTACAAGCTTCAAATGTCCAAAAACACACTAGTTTAGGTTTGCATGAACAGTGTTCAAATCGGCCATGGTGATATCGACGTGAAAACGTCAAAGTTCTTACCTGGAATTGGCACCATTGGACTCCTCTCAGCCTCACGAGCACGAGGGTGGTCTTGGTTTCTCGATTGGTGAAGATTTGAGTATGTTTGTGTGTATGTCCGTATGTAGAAGAAGAAGAAGAAGAGAGGAACTCGGGGAGAGAGAGAGAGAGAGAGAGAGAAGTGACAGAAAAGAGACAGAGGGAGAGGGAATCACGGGAGAGAGAGACAGTGTGTGTGAGTGTGTGTGTGTGGTCCAACACATGCCACACCACACAAAGCAACACTAAGCGTAAATGTAACGAACTAGGGGTAAAAAGGTAAATTCACACGTACGTTTTTATAATCTCGGGACGGGATGTCACAGTTACTAGATTTTATATTTTATTTATTTAATTGTTATCTAACGTCGGTTTAAGGGATATTTTATTTATTTAATTTTAATATAATGTCGATTAAAAGCGACAGTAGATTGCATACTTTATAATTAAATAGCTGATACACGTGTAAGTATGCATCGCTTTAAACCGACGTTAAGGTTAGTGTCGCTTTAAACCGACGCTGTGTAGTGTCGGATTAAGCTCAAAAAGCGACACTGAAGCCCTTTCGCGACGCTAGCAATAGTGTCGCTATTGAAATGCGACATTACATTGTTTAATGTCGGATTTGTGCCAAATTTTCGACAGAAATTTGATTTCTCGTCGGTTTTTCCTCCGCCGGTGATAGCATATATTGTAGTAGTGGGCGACAGAATTGGTTAAAGATCTATTCACAACAATTGTACTATTGGATAATGACACATGACATGATGAGATCAGTTAAAAATCCTATTTGAAATTAAAAATAAAATTATTTTTTATTATTTTATAAAATAAAAGATATTATTATTTTAATACGAATTGCTTGAGCTATTCAATTTAGGAATGGAGATGCACTTGGGCAGTTACTGTTCATTTATTGGAATTAATTAAGTTGCCTATTGCCCAATGATGCCTTGCTACACTGGAAGTTTGGAACTGCTTTTAGGATGGGCTTGCTTTGGCTAAGTTCAGTTTGTGATTGCTTAAATATTTATTTTAAAAGAAGCTTATTAAAAAATTTATAATATCAAATGCATTTGACAAAACAGAAGAAAAAGTGATTTTTTAAAAAATTAACGACAATTTTGATTCTTCAGTGAAAGGCATCGTATTCAGGTCAATTTCCTTTTTGTTCTCCTTTGAAGTCTTTATTTCTTTATTCCCTCCATCCTCATCATCAAGGCTCTTAAGGACAACCTTCATAACTCCCGATAAAATAGAGTGTTCTTAGACATTAGTTAAATTGATGTCCTACTCCGAATTCAGGGTCGGTAATAAAAATTCGAACTTGAATCTAAAACGTGAGTTAAAAACTAAATAAATAAAAGGAAATTGAAACGGGTTGGAAAATAAATTTCTTCTTATAAAATAACTTATGATTTGTAAACAAATCAAGAACTCTTTACAATTCTAAAGTAAAAAAGATGAATAAACTTTCTCTACTCCAATCTAATCCATCTCATCATGCCTACCCTCTTGAATGTTTAATTCGTAAATCTGCATAATAATAGAGGGATGAGATTCAATAGCTCAGTAGGGACATAACCTTATCACATTAAATTGACAATATTAAATTAAGTGTCATGAAATCATATAGCCAAATATCAAATTATTATTGATAACAATGCATGTATGCAATCCAACCTCTTCAGCTACACCTGTTAATTTATATAATAAAACATGTGGACCTGCACGTCTCATTCCATGCATTTTACCACTGTAGTGGTGGTTCAAATGTTCTATTATAGAAACTAACCCCTTTACGATATCCCAAGTTCATAAACCCCTTTTGGTAGTCATCTCATCTAATTCATAGATCTCCAGCCCAAATCACCCACATCAACAATTATCCCGCTGATATCCTATTCTAATGTGCACACCGGGCTCGCCTGGAATTGGTTTCACAACGAAGAGATTCAACTACACAAAAGATCCTTTCTAACTACCCTCATTTCCCGAATTCCAATCTCAACACTGAAGTTCCAACCACATCAACATGAATGATGCACAAATAATGTCATTTCATATTTCACATGTATCACAGTATATTCTCAACGAATAACATTTCAGCAATAATTCCATAACCAATAACAAGTAAACACTTAACTGAAGAAATTAGCCAATTAAAATCCAATCACATTAATCAACCAAAAGGATCAAGAATATTATAACACTTCACGAAATTTAATAGAATCAATTTCCGTAAAGGTTTGCCGTATTTCCCCTACCTGGATTCCAAAGCTAAAATAAAGATCCATGTCACTACTGGAATAGTTAAGCTCCACGTACTTATCTACGTCACTACCGAAATAGTTAAGTTCCACATACTTATTCACGTCATTACTAAAATAGCTAAGCTCCACGTACTTATCCATGTCAATAGCTAAGTTTCACATACTTGAGGAAGCTCCTTGATCGCTCCTAACACCATATATTTATTATATGGTCTTTTATTTCCTAATCTCTCTCTAACTCACACACATATATATATACACATACATACATACATACATACATATATATATATATATATATATAATACAAACTAATGTACTCTGCATGGAAACTACATGCAACGTACAAGATAAAAAGATTTGGAGGAATTGAATGAATAACAATGAAAGGTTGAATGCTATTTATGGTAGACATAGTCGGCTATAAGAAAAACTAATGGGCTGAGAAGAAACTTGAGAGTAAAACACGTGGTTGAT